TTCCATCTGGAAAACGGTGACTAAGGACAGCACCGATGCCAAAAGGTGAGGCGTCGCAGGCAAGGACCAGCGGCCTGGATTCACTGTACTGTACCAGCACACTGTCTGAAGAAAGGAGAGCCTTGACCGCGTTGAAGGCCGCCGTCTCCCGATGACCCCAGGCCCAAGGCGTCTTAGTGCTAAGGAGTCGGTGAAGAGGCTCAGCCACTGTGGCTTTGTGGGGCAGGAACATGTTATAAAAGTTCAGCAGCCCCAGGAATGCCTGCAACTCCGTTTTGTTCTTTGGGGTGGGGGCCTGCTGGATAGCGCGGATCTTGGATGCGGTTGGATGAAGACCAGAGGCATCGATAAGATAGCCCAGGAACTCTACCTGTGGAACGGCGATCTGGCACTTCTCCCTCTTTACCTTGAGCCCGGCCTCCTGGAACCTGGTCAGCACGGCACGGAGGCGCTCGAACAGCTGCTGGTGTGAGTCTGCAGACACCAAGACGTCATCAAAATATGGTACCACGCCCGGAAGCCCTTGCAGGAGACGCTCCATAAGGCTTTGGAAGATGCCAGGAGCCACACTCACCCCGAACTGCAACCGGCGGCAACGGAATGCCCCCCGGTGGGTGACGATCGTCTGGGCTTCAGCAGTGGCATCATCGACTGGCAGTTGTTGATAGGCTTGGGCAAGGTCCAGCTTAGCGAAGACCTTACCCTCACCCAGGGAATGCAGCAGGTGTTGGACAACAGGAACCGGATAAGCGTGCTGCTGAAGTGCCTTGTTGATCGTGCACTTGTAGTCAGCGCAGATTCTCACCGACCCATCTGGCTTGACAGGCGTGACGATGGGGGTTTCCCACTTTGCGTGGTCAACCGGCTCCAAAACTCCTTGGGCGATCAGTTTGTCCAGTTGTTCGTCCACCTTAGCCTTGAGAGCAAAGGGAACCCGGCGTGGCTTTAGCTTGATGGGGGCGACTTGTGGATCAAGGCTAAAGGAGATGGGCGTACCTGTATATTGGCCCAAGGTGCCGTCAAAAACCTCGGCAAAGTCTTTGACCAGACCCTCAGTCTCTGCGTTAGAGATGCAGTTGATGCCGGTGACTTCCAGGCCGAGGGCATCAAACCAGTCTAGCCCTAGGAGGCTTGGCCGCTGACCTTCGACCACCACCAACCGGAGCAGGCCCGAAAAATCCTTGAAGGCGATCCGGAACCGGCCAACGCCTACCACGGGAATGTCGTTTCCCTGGTAGTCTCTCAGGTGTACGCGGTGAGAGTCGAGTTGCCTTTTGGACACTCTGGGTACCAGTCTTTTGATGGTGCTCCATGACACGATGGACAGGGCAGACCCGGTGTCGATCTCCATGTCACATGGAGCTCCTTCAATGAGCACCGTGACGTTCAGCTTGCGTCGCGTAGGCGAGTCGGTTTGGCCAATCGTGGTTCCAGACGGGCAGCGGCAGTTGGTGAGAGCGAAACAACTTCCCTTGGCAGACTGGAGTGAAGACTTGGACTTGCGAGTCGATGAAGGGGGGGTGTCAGACGGAGCCGATCGGCAGACCTTAGCGATGTGGCCCCTTCTGGAACACTTCCTACAGATGGCGTCTCTGAATCGACACTTGGCACGGGAATGGTTGCCTCCGCAGCCAGCACATTCCGGTTGGCCCTTGGACTTCTGTTGGAACTTCCTGCGCTCCCGCTTTGTCTGGTGCACGTCATCGTCTTCACTGGAGGATGCCTCCTCACTGCTGGCCTCTTCATGATGCACCGGAACTGGCTCCCTAACAAGACGCGGGCTGCTGGACTTGCGGATCTCCTGGGCGGAGCGTTCAGCAGCTTCTGAGGCCACAGCCTCCTCAATGGCTTTCTGTAGCGTGAGGTCTGGCTTGGCTAGGAGGCGCCGTTGCAGATGGATGTCCCGGACCCCGCAGACGATTCGATCCATCAGGGCATCGTCTAAGTCTCGGAACTCACAGTGCATTGCAGCCTGTCGCAGGGCGGTGGTGTAGTTGTTGATTGACTCCCCCTCTGCCTGGTTCCGGTGGTAGAACGCATGGCGGGCAGCAATCTTGGACGGCTTTGGTGCGTAGTGGTTGCGGAGCTTCTCTTGGATCGTGTCCCATGGTGTTGCCTGGACTGCTTCAGGCGCAACCAACGCTCGGGCCGTCTCAAACACCTCAGGCCCACAGAGGCTGAGGAATAGGCCCCGCTTCCGATCCTTTGATACTGCTGTCAGCTCGTTGGCTTGGAGGTAGCAGTCGAACCGAGCGAGGTAGGAGTCCCATGATTCAGAGGCTGGCGCAAACGGCGGTAGAAGCACAAGTGAAGCCATGATTCCGATGCCGGCGTGAAGGGCGATGGATGGAACACAGTGCTCTAGCCAGAACAGTCAGCTCTGAATTGGTTCTGCCCAGTGATTTCGCTCAGTGATTTCGCTCTGTGATTCAGCTCAGTGATTCAGCTCAGTTCAGAGGCTGGCCGCATCTGGCTGTGCTCTGATGTCCATCTATCCCATCCTCGTCGCCAGTGTTAGGTTGTGGGTTGACATAGCAGCCGGCACAGCGATTTCTTCAAGTAGCTCTTTATTATGGTAAGCTGGAATAGAACTGACTCCGAACAGCTCAGCCGGCCTGTATTTATAGGCAGCCGGCTGTCAACATTGTAACCACAACAGCTCAGAGTTCCCGCCTAAAATAACTGCCGCGGACCTGAGTGAAAACTATCTACAGACCTGAGTGAAAACTATATACAGTATCCCCCTGTTGGCCCAGGGTGAAACTACACTACATAACACAGAGCATAAGCCATCGTGGTTAGTAGCCTTTGACAGCTCTCTCCTCCATGTACAAAGAAGGCGGCTAAGAGGTTGATCAACACAAGCAGCAATGACAGGGAACTTTCCTTTTCTGAAGTTGATGCAATCAAATGTCTGGGTCAAGCCATGAGTAGCCAATGTTGCACCCTCCAGTTGGACTACAACTCCCATCATTCCCAGCCAGCATGGCCAATAGCCAGGGATACTGGGAGTTGCAGTCTACAACATCTAGAGGGCACCCCAATAGCAGCCTGGGTTAAGCAGGCTTTTTTATATATAGAGAGAGAGAATGAATGTTGTAGGGCAGGGGTGAGAAATCAAGACAAACTCATGCATTGATTTTAGGTCCTGCCTTTTAAGATGAGTGTTAATGTTAGTTCACGCTTAATGAGCAGCTGTGGAAAGATGACTGGTGTGTAACATACTCAGAAGAGGGATAAAAGCCATCCTAATCCAGTTTGAATATCAACAAACAGAAAGGCAGACCCAGCAAGAACAGGCCATCAGAGGCTGGGTGGAGGCTGCCACAACTTCCTTAGAAGTTTAAATAGAAAACAAAACTGACCTATAACACCAAACACTGAAGGTTAATTCTAAATATACAAAAAAAATTCCATACTGATCCATAGACAAATATTGACTCATGTAAGAAAAGACTTGAAATAGCTGGGCTAAAGTCGCAATTACAAAAATGTCAACATTTGCATGAATAATATTTCCTTTTAAGCTACCAAACAGTTTGAACAGAACAGCTGTTCTGTCTACATTGCCTCATCCTGGATTCCTGCTGTGTGTAGCCAGAGGTGGGGGGCAGAATTCCCCACCTAGAACTTCACATGTTGCTACCACAATATGTAGTTATGGTCATTTCTTAAAGTGCTTTAGGAACTTAGGAATATAGGAGGGTGCCTTTTGCCATTGATCCATCTTGCTCAGTATTGTCTGCACCAGCCTTTCTCAACCTCGGAACCGCAGATATTGTTGGACTACAACTCCCATCATCCTTAGCTAGCAGGACCGGTGGTCAGGGAAGATGGGAGTTGTAGTCCAACAACTCCTGGAGACCCAGGTGTTGAGAAAGCCTGGTCTACACTGACTGGAAAGGGCTCTCTAGGGTTTGAGGCTGTTGCTTCTCCCAGCCCTACCTGGAGATGAACCTGGGACCTTCAAGACATGCAAGGCAGATGCTCTACCACTGAGATATGGCCCTTCCCTAAATTCATGAATTTTAGATAAAGTCATAATGGATAAGGCCATAGCAAATAAGTCAATAAACGTGATTGTTATATTACCTCCAGTACCAGAGGGAATATCTCTCTGGTTGCTGTGGGGCAATGAGCAGGTCCTGCTTGTGGGATTTGGTTGACCAGAGAGAGAACAGAATGCTAGATTATCTGGGCCATTGGCCTAATCTAGCAAGCAGTGGAAACTGGTGAGAATAAAGGCACAGATCACTGTTTTGTCAACCATGATTGGACGTTCATCCCAAGATCTGTCCTCTATAGGGGACTGCCTGCTCTTGGAAGGACTACCTTGCCCCAACTTGGTTTATAGATGAAGAACTTGAAGAACGGAGTGTAGCATGCCTTGAAGTTGCCCGGCAACATTGGCAGCTGGGCAGCAGACTCAGCAGGCAAACTGCTTGGAGGCTCAGCCTGCCCCCCCCGCCTGCCTCTTATTTAGAGCCAATCAGATGGTGGCTCTGACTTCACATCCTCTTAGTTTCTCTACCTTCTGCCCTGCCAATCCCAATGGTCACCATCCATCCCTGGCACACAAGCCACCTGGGCACCATTTTACTCACAGCAGTGAGTTGTCCTGTATTTTTAATTAAATCAAAGTAAATAGTTGATATACAGCATTCTAAATTTTCATATTGACCTATAAGTGTGTCTATTGTGCATTTAAATACCGCTGAATTCTCCTTTGCTGTCCTTTTCAGTTATGTATTAGTGGAACCCAAAGCATTGTGAGTTCTCGGTTTTCATCAGGGAGTACAACTTAGATGCCGTTTCCCCCCTGTACTAATAAATAATATCTAAATCTCCTTAGGAATAGCATGTGTTCAAATTAGCAGCTTCCCAGAGAAGTATAACTGCTGCCAAATGCAAGGAAAGGAGTGTTTTGCTTTTTCCTATTAACATCCCTAAAAGCCTCAGGGATCACAACAGCCTGGGATGATGGGCTGTTTGTTTCATGTTTGGGTTAAACTCACCTGCCAGTAGGTGAATTCAAGGTGTCTGAGCAGCACAGCAGGAAGTTAATTTTCTCCACCCACCGGTCTGGACAAGGCATTTGACTTTGCACTGAATTGCTACAGTCACCTCTCTCCTTCCTGACAGAGGCTTCAGTTCTGATCAGCACAAGGATTGCGGGCCAGGGGCCAAAATTCAGGGATGGAACTGCTGAGCTGGGTTGCTGTTGCCATCCTCTTGCTGTCCTCTGCTTGCCAGAATTCGCTTGCGAAAGGTGATTCATCCTTTTCTGATTTGTCACAACTTAGGGTTGTAGTTGGGATATTGTTGCACATGTGTGTGTGTGGGGGGGTGAAGTTGGCAATCTATGTGGCTGAGTAGTGGGAGAGAGGCTTGTGTTTAGAAATGCATGTGCTGTCTTACTGTCATCCTCAAGGAAAGGAATTTGTTTTTGTTTTGTTTTTAAAATACCTTAGTTAGGTATCAATGCAACGAATGCTACTTTGGAAAAAGGCATGTTTTTTTTTAATTTAAAAAATATTAAATTGCCACATACAATGAAAAATCAGGCTCGATAAACCAAAGGCGAGGGTGTCTTGGCTAAAGATATTTCACAAAGGGGAAATGCTTAGAAAGGCTCAACATGGCACCTAGGGAAGCCATGTATGCCTGTTATATTAGGGCAAGGTTTTAAAGCTTTGCAATGGGAAGTGCAAAAATGGGAAGACGGTGGCTCAGTGGGGCAGGACGTGCCTTGCATACAGAAGGTTCTGTGTTTCCTATCCCTGGAATCTTGGGGTGCTTTTTTTAAAAAATAGGGTAAGGTTTCAGGAGATAGGAAAGCTCCCCTCCCCAAACCACAAAGAGCTGCTGCCAGTCAAGAGCAGACCAGAGGGGGCCCCAATGGGCACATTTGCAAATGAGAAGCTGTTTGCGGCACCTTGAAGATGAGCACACTTTCCCTGCAACCAGCACACGCATGAACACTAATTACCCCCCTCAAATCCAGGATATTGGTTCAAAAAGTGCTTTTGCTTCCCCAACCCACCCCAAGCCTAATCTCTTTGGGGAGGGATTTTCCTGAGAGCGCAGTTTGGGAATCCAGAGTTAACCATCCCAGTCCAATTTGAGGAGGATAGAAATGAAAGGCTGCAGAAATCAGTCAGTGCACCTGTGAGCACTGCAGCGGCAACCCATGAAGTAGTTCCATTTCTCTGTGTTCATGACTGGGACTAAGGCCACCCTACCTTCGCACTTTCCATGTTAGTAATTTGTGATTGCTTAATTTCAAAAATCAATCAATCAATCAATCAATCAATCAATCAATCAATAACTGGTTGGGCAGTTACTTAATCACAACATGCGCACTCACAAGACTGTGCACACCTGCACCATACATTTAAAGCACACCCAATGCACATTGAAAGTACATGGTTTCTCCCAAAGGATTCTGGGAACTGTAGTTTCCTCTCCCACAGAGCCATACTTCCAGCACTCTTAACAGACCACTGTTGCCAGGATTCTTTGGGGGAAAGCCATGTGCTTTGAATGTGAGTTGGGTGTGCTTTCAGTCACAGAATCACATAATTGTAGAAGGTACCCCATGCATATATATGGTGCAGAACAGTGTTTAGAAGTGTATGAGGAGGACGGCAATAAGCATGGAGTACATATTTTCACTCTCCAGCAAGGCAGCTACTGTGAATTCAGAGAGCTCTTGAGATCTGACCTTTTCTTAGGAACAAAAAATAATGAGCACATGATCAAGGAATTCTTTAGGGATGTTGTATCCGTGTAGGAGATGGAGAAGGCACTTCCTCAGCTTTCCCAAGGTAGGAATCTAAATCTGTTCTCAGGTTTCTCAGTCTAAAGCATAGCTTTCTCTTATTTTCTAGCAACCGATGGACACTCTTCCAACTCTTCAGACTTATGTCCTCGTAAGTATCATTACTTACGTTTCCAGTGTTCAGAATGTGAGCAGCCTTTCTTACGGAACCCAAATGTAATGCCACGCATGGTGGCAGTACATTCTGAAAAAGCTGTGTGGTGTTAGAAATCGTTGTAGGGTAAACTGTCTCTCATGCCTTGTTACACTGCCGTTTCTACGGGGATATACGCTCGGTATTTATTACCCCTGCTATGCAAAAATCTCCAAATGAATCCAAACTTCAGTGTCTAAAATCCCTGGTAGAGGACAAGGATCCTGAGATCACATTAAGGGTAGCCAAATTCTGTGCGATTACCATAAAACTTAGGAAACAAGCTGTGCTATCATAATGATTAAGGCCTTAAATGATAATTTTAGGTTATATGTTAGTGACTAAGTTTTAATTATATATATATATACTGTTGCTATATCTGTATTGTCCCTGTTGTACCTAATTGCAAATGCATCCCTATCGTGTTTTATGACTTCCTTGATATTGTATGTGGGCTGGAACTGGTCTGTGACCGAAATAATAAATTCATTCATTCGTTGTAGGGCTTTTAGTTAAAGTAATCCAGGAGTCAGGGTGTAAGGCTCCCACGGTCAGGCGTTCATTGCTGCCAAGTGCTTGCCTCCTCCTCCTGCCCCTTCACTGCTGTGGCTATGTCACCCTCACAATTTTTATATGTTCCAGTTCCTAAGAGTCTGGCATCCAGGTTTTACACCAAGCTCAGGAGTGGCGGAGCCCTGAGGCAACTGAAGATCACAGAATCATAGAGGTGGAAGGGAACCCTAGGGTCACCCAACCCCTTTCAATTCAGGAATAGATAGGAAGACAGAATTCTGGTTGGCTGCTCCCCTGCTTATTGTTAAGTTATTCTGAATAAAATGGTTTGGTCATTATCCTTTGTGTACAGAGTACAATGTACAGTACTGTGAGGTGACCTCCATATTGATAAGACATTCAAGGTTCAACCTACCCTTTGTGTTGTACCAGCAGAAAGTCATATACAGTATATATATCACCAAACCAAGCCAGGCGCTCTTCTCTTTCTCTGTCATCAGATGTCAATTTCTGCTCAGAGGCCTCCAGATGTTGTCAGTTTGGAGTGGATGAATATGGCTGGATCGCTGCAGCTGTCGGGTGGAGTCTCTGGTTCCTCACCCTTATCCTTCTCTGCATTGATAAACTCATGAAGCTCAGACCTGATGAACCCAAATATTTGGAAGCATGACACTTGGCTAAGCTTACAGTTATTTCTTTCTTTCTGTCGTATGGGATGAGACAAGTGGATGAAGAAAGTAACTTAGCCTGCTCTGTCTGCTAAGTACAGAAAAAGGACGTTGTTCATGGCTTTATAAAAACGCCCTAAGTTGAGGGGAAAAGCATGGCCAAGATATGCTTTATGGTTTGTATAAAAATCCCTGTAACTTCCCAAGCCTCTGGAAGAAAACCCCCGTTCCTTCTTGTAGCTGGTCTGTCAAATATGTGTGCACTGGTTTCCTTGCGTCTTCTGTCATAGTTGTGAAAAGAACAATTTACACCCTCTGAAACTGGGATGGAGAATCTGTAAACGTTGAGCTAGCCAGCATTTACTTCCGATGACACATGCTGTGACATTTTGAACGGTCAGCTGCTTTTTCTCTTTGTATGACCCCAAGACAGGCACAGTGTAAATGAGGAAATACTTCTTGGTTCTTTTTTAGAAAGCTAAAGGTCCCTCCACCCTAACCTGCCTCTGCTGTACAGTAAACACAAGATCAGATGCATGCACAACAACTTAATTGTGTTTCCATTCTACTTCAGCTCATTTCTCAACTGCCATACAGAAACTGCCACCCCCCCCCACCCGCCCAAAAAATTATGGTCTATTCAGTATTTTTTTAAATCTGCGGCATTCACTGTGATGTTTTAAAGGGCAAGGAAACTTTGTTTTCACGTTGTTGGCAATAAGACTACAATACAGTGGTACCTCAGGTTACATACGCTTCAGGTTACAGACTCCGCTAACCCAGAAATAGTGCTTCAGGTTAAGAACTTTGCTTCAGGATGAGAACAGAAATCATGCTCCAGCGGCGCAGCAGCAGGAGGAGGCCTCATTAGCTAAAGTGGTGCTTCAGGTTAAGAACAGTTTCAGGTTAAGAACAGACCTCCGGAACGAATTAAGTACTTAACCCGAGGTACCACTGTATAGGGAAGCAAAATAACCCTTCTGACTCCCATTTTTAAAAACAGAACCATACATTTAAAAGAGAATCACAAATATTTGCCTGATAGCCTCCTTGTAACCTGTTGTGTGTTATCTGTCACAGATAAATCATTATGTATAGAGAAATGCCCGTCACTATAGCCTAGTTCTCGCTGAGGAGAAAGTCATTAGTGTTCAATGTTTCTCTGAATCAAAATCTAACCCACCCTACATAAAGGCTGCTAATAGGCTGAACTACAACTCTAATATCTGAGAACTAATGTTTCTGTGTGTAAATGTTTCTTTTTGCGGTTTTTTGAATGGAGCAACTAGGTTTTATTTGACATGCTGCATTTTATTTTCTCCTGGAGGTAAAAAAGCACACACTGCGTTGCAACAAAAGCCCAGCATAAATCAGGGAATATGTCAAGTGACTTGGCAGTAAATATATATTCAATTTTTAGTGCACAGCACTATGTTTTCTAGTTGTGCTCCACCACATAAGTTAGATTGGGACACTGATTTGCCCAAGGCTCAGTACACAGCTGAGAAGTGATAGACTCTAATTAAAAACAAACACAAAAAAACTCACCATTGCAGCAAGGACGCATTTGCACACTCTTTTCATCACAAGAATGCAGGAGATAACTGACATGTGAATGGGCATGTGAGTCTGCCTTACAGCTGGGAGCAGAGTTTAAGCACCCAGGCCTGAATGGAATGAAATCAGGTGTGGGGTTAATTTACATCTCATTACTGAGGTACAAAGAGCTATAGATCAAGACCCAGTTGCACCTGATCAGCTGGAATGTAGCCAAGTTTGAAATTTCAACTAAGAGTAATTGTTTCATGTGTGTGTCCAGGAATAACTATATCAAGGCTTTGCACTCAGTAAAGTTGGTTTGAACTCTATCATGTAAATCAGGTTTCCAGCCAATGTTTGGGACTGAAATAACCTTGGCTGTCCTATGTGAAGAGCTACACTGGGAACTGGACTGGGGCAGTTTGTCCCTGTTGGTTCTGCTGGACTTCTCTGTGGCTTTTTATAACTTTGATATCCTTTTGGGAGGGGTGAAGCTTGAGGACCAGTTTTGCTGTGGCTCTAAAGCATCCTGGAGGAAATTTTCTGAAGGTGCTGCTGGGGGCCTTCTGCTTCATACTAAAGGTAAAGGTACCCCTGCCCGTACGGGCCAGTCTTGACAGACTCTAGGGTTGTGCGCCCATCTCACTCTATAGGCCGGGGGCCAGCGCTGTCCGAAGACACTGCCGGGTCACGTGGCCAGCGTGACGAAGCTGCATCTGGCGAGCCAGCGCAGCACACGGGACGCCGTTTACCTTCCCGCTAGTAAGCGGTCCCTATTTATCTACTTGCACCCGGGGGTGCTTTCGAACTGCTAGGTTGGCAGGCGCTGGGACCGAGCAACGGGAGCGCACCCCGCCGCGGGGATTCGAACCGCCGACCTTTCGATCGGCAAGTCCTAGGTGCTGAGGCTTTAACCCACAGCGCCACCCGCGTCCCGCGACCTGCTTCATACTACTGTATGGCTATTGCCTTATGGTGTCCCTCAGAGTCCTATAGTCTGTCTGCTATGCTGATGTAACCTGAACACCAAACAACTGGGAGAAATCATATGGAAAGATGGAGCTTGATGCCACTATCCTGACCACACTCACCTCAGTCCAGTTGGCCATGGAAGGTATACTTCAGTGTCACAGATCAGTGACAAACTGAATGTGGACAAACTGAAGCTCAATTTGGCAGTGCCCTAAAGTACTGCCCTAAGTTATACAATCCAATAATACGGACAAAACCCATTTTGAGTGGAGATTTGGGTGGTTACCGTAGCAACAGGACCTTGAGAATGGGCTGTGGGAAGTCCTGTCTGGGAAGTATCTGGAGAGGGGACACTGGAATTCAATCCTGTGGGGTGTCATCTTCCCACAACCCATCCCAACCATATTTTAGGGTTTAACAAAAGCCTAATTAGCCATGTGCCTGAATTAATTTGGGGACAGATTTGGGGTTGGTTGTCCCTGGGTTGGGAGTGTGCACAGCACTAATATAGACTCACTAAACAGAAGATTTTGCTACATATTGAATACATGACCTCTTGTTCCTTTTTCAATACGGCAAACATACATTATTTTCTTTCAAAGAAAGCTTTGCACGAAGTCTTTAGTTACATTCCCCCCGGCCCCTACACCCACCTCACAAAAGTGAGGTGGAAAGTGGTTAGGATTGCTGATGCCATCTTCTTAAAGTTCAATCATGCTCATTTCCTTCACTTGCTCCTCTCATGATATACACAGCCAAAAGCCTTCATCATACTCGTCCCACCTGGAATCTTTTTCACTCTGTAAATCTCTTTCTTGAACTGTGTGTCTCTAAACCAATAATCAGTAAGTTGGGGTGGGGGAAAAGACAAAAGTTCATATTCTTCTTCAGTCCCTAATTGATTACAAAAAAGTATTGTCCTGTCATCATTAATTATTTCTAAAAGTGCCCAAAAGGTACATGTCACAAGAATCTCTCTTAGCCTTCCTGTTAACCTCTGTGGCGGGTGAACTCCTCACCTCCGCATTTGGATCTGAAAGATGATTCCGTGGGGTTTCCACTGAACAATCTGAGCCACTTAATTTAGAATGATTGCCCTTTGGAAGCTCAGCACAGAGATGAAAACTGGCAAACAAAAGGACTTCTTTTGTGCGCAGGCTAAACGCAAAGAGAACACCGGTACATAAGGTTAACTTCCTCAGAAAGGGCAGCAAGTGCTGAGAGCCTGGAAAAAAAGAAAGCCCACGGAAACATTGCAATTCCATTGAAATACTGTGAATAGCTAGAGCCAGTCTTGATGTTACACAGATGCTGGCAAGTCTTCCAATGCTTCTTTTAAAATGAGGCCACAAATTCAATGAAGAAATGGCAATGGGAGTTTGGCATGAGTGAAAAGGGGCTACTTAACTCTTCCCACCCCCTGGACTCAATCCCATGCCTAAACTGCTTTCCCACTCCATAAGAAATGAGGGAGGGATTTTAAGTGGGAGATAGTAAAGGTAAAGGTACCCCTGCCCGTACGGGCCAGTCTTGACAGACTCTAGGATTGTGCGCCCATCTCACTCAAGAGGCCAGGGGCCAGCGCTGTCCGGAGACACTTCTGGGTCACGTGGCCAGCGTGACATCGCTGCTCTGGCAAGCCAGAGCCGCACACGGAAACGCCGTTTACCTTCCTGCTAGTAAGCGGTCCCTATTTATCTAATTGCACCTGGGAGTGCTTTCGAACTGCTAGGTTGGCAGGCGCTGGGACCAAACAACGGGAGCGCACCCCGCCGCACGGATTCGAACCGCCGACCTTTCGATCGGCAAGCCCTAGGCGCTGAGGCTTTTACCCACAGCGCCACCCGCGTCCCAAGTGGGAGATAGGCAGGAGTTAAGTAGCCCCCTCTCATTGCTCCTTAGCTGAGACCTGCGGCCTGAGACCTACATTTTAAAAATGTAGATAAGTTACACCAACCTCCTGAGTGATGCCTCACTTGGCCCTTACTCCCAGTGTAACAAATGAGTTGGTAACAAAGGGAGTTAAACTTGGAGAGATATGTCGAGGAAAGTTCTTCAATGATTTTGGTGTGCACAAAACATTATGCGAGTAGGGGCTATTTCAACCTTGGGGTATACTCTTTATTTTTCCCCTCGACCAATCCTTAATGTTGAAGTCACTGGTGTGAAACCCACCCACCCACTCCGTGTCCGAAGTACATTACTTTGTTGTGGCAAAGAACTATGGACTTCAAGATGAAACCCAACTAGATGTTTGGATTCCCATTCTACTGCTATATATGACTTCCAAATACTATTTCAATCCCCCAAATTTTTGTGCACAGAGCTCACTCACTCACATGTGAACAGCATCGTGGACAGCTCTGCCTACACAGTTAGCAAAGTTCTACCACATGCAGAATGCTCTGCTTATTAATAGAAGTGAGAACAAGTGCTCTTTCTGTATAAATACTATAAATGTTGCATTCAGATAGTATACACAACACCACTAAACCAAATGGCCTGATTAAAAAAACCCCCAATTCAAATGCTTCTATTAAGGAACACTGGTGGAATTTGATAGCTATGGTGGAATTTGATAGCTATATATATATATATATATATATATATATATATATATATTTCCCACACCTTCTTTTTCCGTTCTCTCCCCCACAAATATCAGGAATAGATATTCTGAATAATTCAAATCTATCCTCTGAGGATTCTATACCCATTTTAATTTCTTTCAGAGAAGCATTTTTATTTATACCACAGTCTTGTGTGTGCATAAAAAGTCACACAGTCAGGATTTCGACATTATCTTGAACAGCAATTAAGTGT